ATCATATCATATCATATCATATCATATCATATCATATCATATCATATCATATCATATCATATCATATCATATCATATCATATCATATATCATATCATATATCATATCATATCATATCATATCATATCATATCATATATCATATCATATATCATATCATATCATATCATATCATATCATATCATATCATATCATATCATATCATATCATATATCATATCATATATCATATCATATATCATAGTGTAACAGAGGGCTGAAACAGTATCCCCCTCCTGTTTCTCCCTGTTTTATGCTATAATAATAAAGACTGAGGCCAATTCCAGGCCTTACCCAGTAAAACCATCCATCACTAAAGTSAGTACAAGGAGCTGCAGGTTCTACAAATATCTACAACTTGTACCAATAAACCAACCAGTGCCTAAACAGGTTGAAAGTGTTTCAGAACACACAGGATTATCCTTTAACTCTCATTCATTCTGACTCCACCCCAGGGTTGGATTAGGTACAGAAGTAAAGTAAAAACATGACTGACAGGTGACTGGAACCCTGACTGGGTCTGATCGGCTCAGGTCTCCAGTGGGACGTCAAATGTGTGAGAAAAACATCAAGCTGATAAAAACCAAAGGTTCTGAAAGTGCCACTGAGGGGCTTTACAGATTTCTGCCTGTAAAGAACAGAATCTCATTACATCGTCATAATCATTAAAGGAATCTGAAGAACCTTTAGAGGTCCAGTCTAAGCTGGATCAGGACAACAACTGGAAAACAAATGAAAGTCATCAGACAGACCCTACCTGAAGGAATCCATGGATTACTGGTTGGACGATCTCTGGGGTCTCCCTTCTCCCAGTCAAAGTCATCCTCTTTGGACTGGACCAGAGTACAGTCCGGACCCTGACCCATCAGACAGGCTGCAAGAAGAACAGACAGATGTTTCAGTTCTGTGATTCTGTCCCAGTTTGGTGTGTATTGGTTCTGGGTTGGATCTGGCTCTGGTTTATCATGTGTCGGCTCAAACAGCAGAGCAGGAACTGTTGAACTTCCTGCTGTATTTGGTGAAGGACGGCTGCAGTCAGTGCAGCTCTGACTCTGTCCTTCGTGCTCATCGGCAGAAGCTGCATCTTGTAAACATATRATGTTCTTCAGAGGGAGACAGTTCCAGTTCATTACCATTTCCCAGCATGCTCGCTGCCGGCTCCTCACACACACAATAGATGGAAGCCTTCGCTTTCCTCTCTAACTCAAAGACGTCTAAATCCCTCCATTCATGAAGCACACACACACACACACACACACACTCTGTGTGTGTGTGTGTGTGTGTTCACAAATATATGTTGTGGCATCAGGGGCTTTGACGCCTCGTCAGCCTCTTCAGTGGAATGACTCCGGGTGTGTGTGGCTGTCATCTGAAAGCGTTGACATTAAATGGCTGGAAGGCTCATTTTCTTTCTTTGTAACAAAAGGCGCATTAAACACACACACACACACACACACACACACACAC